TTTTACAATAAACCTATCCTTGTTCAAATTCAATAGTTAGTAATAAAAGTTTTTTTCAAAATCTAATGTAATAAGACAGTCTTGAACAAAAACATTTCACTTATCTTTATTTTCAATATAATTTGAGCTTCTTCAATAAACGGTCGGTGTATTTTGTCTTCTAAGCAAAGTCTATGGGGAGTAAGATCTTTTTTAGATTCTTTTGCACAGTAAATATTGGCACTATTCTAAAGCTATGAATGGTTTTGTGACGATTTTTTGTTAGTAAACTATTGTGTTGCAAAAAAGTACTTTAAAGTATATAAATAAGTTACCCGAGCAATTGATTTACATCAGCCAATCAGACGAACTTCTTCCTTTGATCTAACTACACATTTTGAACGCGAACGTTTACTAGATTTTACTTTCAAATATTTATTACCGTTACTTATTTGTTCACATTTCAAGAGCTTTTACTATTTCATATTGTCATTTATTATTTATAGCTAGGCGTGAAGTCTATAGAATGCAATGAGGAAACTGAAAGCATTACAAGATTTAGACAAAGCAATTAACCGAACCAAACAATGCAATGGCAAGAAAAAATCAGAAACCAAAATTAATAGTGAAACAAAAAATTCTTTTATTACAGCAAATTTTCTAATAAAATATACAATTTACATTTTGTACAATAATAAAATATTTACTTTCTAGTATTAGGATTATCTTCAATGTACTGTTGGAGAATACGAACAAACGATGGTTGTGATAATTCACGCACGAAAAGACATTGGAGTTTAATTTTTGAATCTTTATGTTCAGCTGGATGATGATTGTATAGATCAGTAGATACAGTGTTTAATTCTTCTGTTTCCTCATTCTCATTCTCATTATCACCGTCAACTTCAACCTATTCTCTGACAATAGATTCTTCCTCATTTTCATTGTTATCATAATCAACATTGCTATTGTATTCATCATCAATATCATAATAATCATAATCAGATTTTTCACCGCTATTACACAAGATTTCGCTATGACCAGGTGTATTGGGACCATCTAATTCACTATTTAATTCAGCGTTTAATTTATTGACTGGACTCGATTCAACATTTGATTTATTGGCGAAAGTTGCTTCAATATTCGGATTATTAGCTGAACTTGATTCAATATTTGATTTATTGACTAGACTAGTAATATGGTTTATAGTGACAGCTTGGCGAACCTTTTCAGCATTATCTAAGCGTTCTTCCCATGCCATTTCAGCTGCGACTTGAGTCATTCTAAAGATTGTTTGTAACTGCAGCAAGATAAGTTTATTAAGTATAAAATTGTAAATTTTGAATATACTATTACTTACTTTGAGGCGATTGCGTCTTGGATTTTGAAACCATCCCATTCGGGAGAAAAGTCGCTCACATAGTGCTGAGTTAACTTTAATACTATACAATCTGTGGGCGATTTTATCAATCTCTTTTTGATCAATTGCCGCAAATTCCCAATATCACAATAATGCAAGCCCATTTGTATTATTTGTTTTACCCTCGGTTGCTAAAATAGCTTTGATAGTATTTTCAAATCTTTCATTACTAAATATACCACGTTTCATATAATATTCAGTTAATTCTAATGTAATACGTCGTGGCTTTACACCAAACCATGTTTTATAATAATATTCTATCCATTTCGTTATTCTTTCAAGAGAAAAAAATTGGCATCAAACAAAGCCTAAACACGATATTGTGGGTAAAAAATAATTGCTAAGAAAAGAAGAGGTTGTTCCCAATCTGCCCATCTTCTTTCAAGTTTCTGTCGCATTTGATAACCAAATCTGTCTAAGTCATTTTTATATCGCTGTGCTACATATCTGAAAGCATAAACAACATCAAAAAGATTAGCTGCATCACGTTGAAGATAGTCCAGGATGCTAACAAAAGGCAGAAGATGTTCTACTAATTCATCAAGAAATGCCCAAAATCGATTATTATTAATAGCAGTTCGAGATTTATCTGATAACTCTGAAGAATTTGGATATAAAATTGAATATGACTGTAAAGCACGGTTGCTTCTTAAAAGCATTGCAAAGCAATAATAGTATGAATTCCAATGCGTAGTTACTGGAAGCACAAAGCTATAAATTGCCTTGTAAATTCTCTGTTGCTTATCACAAAGTAATGATGTTGCTTTTGAATGCCGTTGATCAGTAAAATATGATGCAATTCCAATTGCTTGATTTAGTGTTTGCTTATATGCAGACGAAATTTTGAAAATATCACCAACACATAGATTTGCCTGATGCGCAAAACACAGGAGAAATGTAATATCACGCCTTTGCAATCGTATTCTGCGTCTGGTAAGTAAATATATACATTATTTTGTGATACAAAATTAAAAACAAATATTATTTTTTTTCTAATCAGGGTTTTTTTTTTTCTTGTTCTTATTTTTATCTATATGTACCGTGCGGAGGCATATGCTGAAGCACTATCCGTAACCATCGCTACCACATTAAGGTTCTGACTACTAGCATGTTTCAAAAAATTATTAATTATATTTAATACATCAGGAGTCCTTTGTCTTTGATTGCTAACATTCTCAGCACCCCATATATGTAGTTGATTTGTTGCAGAAAGAATAATGGCACCTAAAATTTCCTAACAACGCATATTTTTCCAACCATCAAACATAATCATAATCGGCTCCTGAGATTCAGAGAGTTTAGAAATTTTACTTTGTTCTAATTTTTTCGCATGTTCAATTAGAATTTTACTGCTTAGCAATTTGTGACTTGGAATTTTAACAGTTGGATTAAAAAAATCAACAAATTTACGGAGGGTACTACATTCAACAAAACAAAGAGCAAGCCCATTCTGAACAACTAATCATAGGAGAAGATGATTAAATTCATTCTGTTGGCTAGTTGATAATGGTCGCACAATATATATATCGAGTGTAGTGGATTTTGTTTTTTTAAATTTCTTTATTTCATTTATATGAGATAAGCTCGAAGTTTCAGATCTATTATCGGTATGCATCGATTCCGACATGGTTGAAGCCCTAGAATTTGATGAAACAACAGACATGGCAGTATTACTTCACTCTCTTGCTTGTTGTAATGCTCTAATAGCATTATGTGCTATATTTTCGTCAGGGTCTTCATACATCATTACTTCTTGATCTTTATCTAACCAAAATTCATACCAGTATGGACAGTGCTTCCAGTGTCGTTGTACATGATCCCACCTGTTAATAAATTCATATTTTTGATATACTTCCTACAATTCAAGGCCTTCATTTTTTCTATTTTCAAGTATTTGTTCATTACTTTCACAAGCTTTGCAAATAGCCCGCTTAGTGGTTTGGTTTGGGCCCAATTTATCTTGAACATGAACATATTTTGTTAATCTATAAGCATGAGTTTGAGACATTTTTTTTTTCTTTTTTTTTTTTAATACTAAAACCGATTGTTTTTGTAGCTTTTATATTTAACCAATTTAATATAATTTGGTCTAACAAGTTTGCATAAAGCTAGCTTAGTCTAAGAGCTAATTGGCGTTAAACTTGGTATTGATAAGCTATGAATCTTGTATATTCTTATTGTCTTTAAAATATGAATTATTTCAAAACATCGAAATAGCATTTAACATTATATTCAGGTATGTATTCACTTATAAAGAAAAATACAAAAGAAGAGGAAACAAAAAACGAATATTTGATTCAACTCTATGATACTAATTGGGTAATTATTTTTCTTTCAAGCTATTAAGCTTTATTTATATGTATTAGTTAGAAGTATATGGCATATATATATTGAATTAATTTTAAAAATTGAAATGAATTAGACTTTAGTATTCTCTAAGACTTTGTTATTCGTAATGATAGCGACAAGATGTGAACTTATTAGTTACGGGCTAACGCACATTCGTTCGCATGAATGACCAACAATTTATAGAAAATTTAGTTGTTACAACAATGTAATTATTGTCGTTCAATCATGCGCATAATTCTAAAAAGTGCGCAATTTATCTATCTCTAGATAGGAATCGATACTATCATTCCCATGAAGAACAAATCAAAATTACTTGCATTCGTATATTCCATTTTGTTTATTAGGAATAAAGGTAATCATATAAATTAACCCTTGTTTTTACTAGGTTTCGTTGTTTAAATTTGTGTCACTTGCACAAATAGGGCTTAATTGGCTAACGCAAATTATCACTATTTCGAATTAGTGCGATCAGTGAATTTGTAAATTCCACGACCCTGCATGTTACCATAGTAAAATGCAGGATTCATGAGATTCTCAAAATTCATTTGATCTCACTAATTCGAAAACAGCAATAATTATCTGAGTAGTTTTTATACACTTTGTGTTTTTCTGATAAACAATTGTGATCAATGAATTTTGTCAATCCCACGAATCCTGCATGTTACTATTGTTTGAACAATGGTAACATGCAGGCTTTGTGGAATTCACAAAATTCATTGATCACACTAATTTGAAAACAGGGAAAATTACTATTAATTACCTGAGTAATGTTTATACACTTTACAGGAATTTAACGTTTTTCTGATGAACGAGTAAAAATGATCAAGAAATATCGGTAACCTCAAACAAATCTAAATTCTTTGCTATTAATAACTATACTAGCTAGGGAAATTAACCGAGCGCAGCCACCCCAAAGTTTGGGCCGTATAATATAAGTCACTGCAGCATTATTGTGGATAGATTAATACTGGGTGCTACTGCTGATACATATTGGGTCGCCATCAATAGAAATCAATTGAATAAATCTGTTTGATTTCTATTTACGACAGCCAAATTTCAAGAAGCTGTTTGAATAGTTGGAAGATAAATTAGTCACACAACCCAAATATAGCAAATCAGCCAAAATTTAGGGTTGGGATATGCTGCCATTAAGCAATAACCAGCAATTTTTAGGTTATCGTTTTTTTTTTTTTAGTAATTTGGTGAAAATTTTATCAATTTTAGCCTATTTCGACTCTGAATTTTGTTGTATTTCTAGGTGGGTAATGATAAGAGAAAACCTTTAAATCCAAGTTTCAATTTATGCTGACTGGATTTCTGAAAATTGTGATGTTTTCTAGTAATTTGGGGCAAATACAATGCAGGAGCATCTATACCAGACTTAATTCAGAAATTGTAATGACCAGTCCTTAATCATTTGATAATAATTTGAATATGCTATAAATATTTACAAGCTTTCCTTTGGCAGCCTCATATAAGCCTAATTGGCAAAAATAATCGATATTTGGGGCGTTACATGTAATGGTAAGTTTTAAATCTTAAAAACTTTATTTAATTTCAATACTTATATTTTCATATTTATCGATTTTTAGAGTTAAATCACTGGGTATGAGCAAGTCATTTGGGTTAAGTATCAGATTAATAAATATATTTTGTTTGTAGGTTATTGTTATGCCAACTGAAAATAGAAGAGAATTGCCTTTAATTGTAGTTAATAAAGATTTAAGCTTCATGTTTGCTAATAAATAATTTCTTCTTTATTGAATGTTTTACTTTATGTTATTGATTATCGATGAGATTTAATAGTATAAATATATTTAACAAAGGAATTAATAATTTTCAATTTCCATTAGATGGAATATTTACATACTATATAGTTTGATATTTCTTTTTTTTTAAAGCAATGGCATTATCGGGTAATGTTAAATGATCAAAGTAACAATACTTTTGACCAATTAATATTGTTACACAGACTAATCAGACTAATTTAACCAATTTGACCATGGTCAAATCGGTCAAATTAGTCCGATTAGTCCGTGTAACAATATTTTTACCAAATTAGTATTATTACACAGACTGATTGGTCCGATTGGTCAGTGTAACAATATTTTTACCAAATTAGTATTGTTATACAGACCGATCGGACCAATTTGACCGATTTGATCATGGTCAAATCGGTCTGATTGGTCTGTGTAACTATACCATTTGACTAATTTGTCCAGACCAACCAAACCAATAACCAATTGACCATTGACCGGCAAATTTACGGTTGACCACTATATTACCCAACACTGATTACTATATATCATAAAGTCATTTTTAAAGCAAAGACCCCATATATCTTGTTAATAAATTAATTTAATATATTTACATAAACATATCAAATTTAGTATCCTCACTTTTCCTATATGACTCACAATTACCTAGCAATTTTTTCTGTTAATAGAAATATGATCGCTAAAAACAGATATAATTTGGCATCTAAAACTGTAAGGACAGCACAATGTTTTTGA